AAAAAAAAAAAAAAAAAAAAAAAAAAAAAAAAAAAAAAAAAAAAAAAAACGAAAACTGAGTGCTTTTAATTGAATTTCGGGGAATGTATTTAGACATTTTTTTATTTCTTTCTACTTTTTAATGAAGCACTGGCTGGGCATTACGAAAAAAAAATAGCACCAATTGCAAATGCAAAGTTTAAGAAGTTCTCCTCGATAAATTTATCAATGTTTGATATACTTTTTGCTTTTATATAAGAAAACAAGTAATTATTGCACATCAACATAAACAACTCAAACTTTGCAACAACATAAACGACTCAAACTTTGCATTTTCAATTGGTGCTTTTTTCGCACCTGTATGTATATTTCACTAGAAAGCAGAAGTACCTGCAGAAGCTTGAAATTAAATCACTGAAAATTTATCGAGCAACATAAAGTATAAAGGCAAAAATCAACAATTTACTTTTTTTATACCATAATAATAATAATAAATAGCAATTAAATTATAAAAAGAGAACTGGTTTAGCCTTGCATATACATATGTATGTGTGAATTTATCGTTTAGAAAAGCGAAAAAAAAGCTTATGCGCAATTTGGACGCCATCTCACCTTGATGGCAACATTCGGGCTTACTACAACAATAACAAAGATGACTCAAATGTAACTTAATTGTTAAACGCGTAGAGTTTGGGCAAAAATCAACTTTTGACCCAGAAACAGAAACAGCAACAGAAGCCAAGCAAATCAATTTTAAAACTCTCATTGACTGTTTCTTAATGTATGAACGATTAACCTTCATTATTCCGACATCGCATCTCAATGTGTGCGATATATGTATATAATCTGGATTGATGGGATTAAATAAAAAAAAATATATTTATATATATAAATTATTTGTGTACATAAACAAAGCTTGAAAGTATCGAAGGCCAATTAACTGCTAATTACAAATAAAAGCAGGTGAGCTAAAGCGAATAGTTGTCGGGCTCAGAGATACCCTGGTCGTGCCTCTGATTTAATAGCCTTCAATAAAAATTATTGGGCATAAAATAATTCATAAAAAATTATATTTCAGAAAAATACATACTTTTGGATTGGCACTATTAATTGTAAAATTTAAAAACTTGTGCTAGCATTTCCGTAGATTCCGATTGCTCTGTCATACCCATTTGTATCAATATTTAATGGGTACACAAAAAAGTATGAGTAACTGCGAAATGCTTAAGGTTAAGCATAACAGAAGAAATTTTAATATAGTGCACGAGTGCAAAATACATATACATATAGCTGTATACATATGTGTGTATACAAAAATAAAACACAAATACTCATGCACAGAAATTGTATGAATGTGTAAGCATGCATATGCGACACCTTGAACATGATGTATGTATGTATGAATGAATCTATGTATTCATATTGAGAAATACATCTATACAAATGTATACCTAGAGAAAATAAACTAATGATGTACTTACTGCTTGTGCATTGGAGTTAGTCTCGTCCATTATTTTGTCAGTCTCCATTTTTATCATTGTGTTGTTTTCGATGTTCTTCTTCTTATTTTATTTATTTATTTTATTTTTTTGAAAATTTATGTAGCTGCTTTGATACCTGATCTGTAATTCACGCACAAAAGCACTCAGGGATTTTTTCGCAATTGAATCAAACAATATGAGAAAATTTAGCACAGATGTTTTGGGCTATAATTTATAATTCGGCATTATTGGTAAGTTGCAAGAAATTACAAAATTTTATTCGAGGTTGTCCCTCTACAACAACTCTCTTCTCGGATGGTGACTTTAGCGCTTTCTCGTTTTTACTCACTTAAAATTTTCATTGCTTACTCGTTCGCACCTTATATATGTACATGCATATTCACCACGCCGCGCGTTACTGCCAACAACAAATTCATGTTATTCTCTTTGACAAGTCATTCTTTTCGTTTGCCAGTTGTAGCCTTTTCTGTTCGTTTCTCACACCAAAATATTTTTTAACACAGCGTGCAGTTGCCCGCAAATGCACGTATTTTTGTGTGACACTAATTAACATAAATTTTTGAATATTTTTTACAATTCTTTCACAACTAATGAGCGACGGCACGTAAATGTTGAAGTCGTACCAAATGTTCGCAGTATATTCGGACGAACGACTTTCCGAACTAAATGAGCAAACAAGCTTTGGTTCATTGGCTCCAACTGCTTGACTAGTTCATTCCATCGATATCATATAGTTGTTCATTTCACCCTTTTTTATATGAGAATAATTTTAATGGTTACAGGTTTGGCTTAAATAAAATATACTTATTATAATTAAATAAGGTAAATAGGTAAGAATAAACCTCAAATTCCATATTATTTATAAATGTTCATTCAACAGTGCAATGATACTTTTGGTACTTCTCGATAACAGTGAAATACTACCACTTGACCACTGTGTTCTCTGGTTAGTGGATACACTCTACTGTTTATCGTATGTTGCTCTATTTTGCGCCACGGAACTCAATTTTGCGCATTTACTGATTGATCTGAACGGTCACACTGCATATGATCTAGTTCACTGTAGAACCTTTGAGTTTTATGTTATTTAATTTATATTGATAAACTATTTATATTTAGGCAGAGGGGCACGTCTCCAGATAACCTTGACGCTCAATAAGTATAGCGTTGACGCAAGTAAGTGAGTGTTATTAATTTAGATCATTCCATACATTCACATTTACTCGACTGTAGCGGTCGTCTGATTCTTGACACTTTGCTTCCGAATTGTAAGCCTTTTTTTTTTTTTAAATCGACAGTTATTTCTGTTAATTTTGATTTACAAAATTCTTATGATTTTGTTATATTTTTAATTTTATACCTACTTAGTGGTTCTGCTCGCTCGGTGTTTAATGGCCTGCCAACGCGGTCAGGATGTGGCCAATTTCGTATCCGAGGGAAAAAAGATCATAGGCGTTGCTTTGAATTATATGTAAATGACGTGGATCATGAGTCTACAGTAAATAATATTTGTTTCCCTATGCAGGTGTGCCGTCAAGGCCAAAAATGTCCCAGTACCAACAGTGCCGATCGTTTTTATAAAGCCCACAACATCTTATCTGAAAGAAGGTCGTCCTATTATCGTGAGCGTGCTGATCTTTACACTTTATTAGTTAATTAAATGAATTTGATCTTTTTGTTCTGCTAGTTGCCCAAAGTTTTTACCAAAGTGGCCTATGAGGTGGAGCTAGGCGTTGTGATTGGAACTCGGTGTAAGAATGTATCCAAGGAAAAGGCTATGGGCTATGTGGGTGGATATTGTCTGGCCCTGGATTTAACTGCTCAATGTAATTTAACGGCAGCACGAGCAACAGGTGGCTCCTGGACACTTGGAAAAGGATTCGACACAGCGACTCCAGTTTCACGTTTCATACCCTTAGATGCTGTAGACGATCCGCATGCGTTGCCCCTCTGGCTGAAAGTCAATGGCGAAGTGAAGCAAAAAGGCTGCACCGCAGATTTGGTATTCAAAGTGCCCGACATTATTTCCTATGTATCCAAGTATATGACCTTGGAGCCTAATGATTTGATATTGACGGGAACGCCCCATGGTTCGGAACCCTTCAAGGCCGGGGATCTGATTGAGTGCGGCTTGGCTGATTTGGCCACCATGAAGTTCGACGTGTGTGACGAGCAGAACTTATAAAATCCCAGAGGCTTACATCTGACAAATACTGAATAAAATGTTTGATGTCATTCGCTTTGAAGCATCTGTGGTTTGAACAGATGTTATGGTTTTTTATATGTATTTTGATGATTTTCGAAGTCAGAGATCGAAAAATCTGCGTAAAATAATGAATACGCATGTACACATTTCACTTTCTGTTTTTTTTTACGTCATCGCAGGCAATCAGAAACTTCTTCATAGCTGCACAGTCCTCCGTATTTTTCCACAAAGAAGCCGGGCAATTTTGGTACACTTGTTCCATTATGCAGGCCAACAAAGTAGCTGGATAATAATCACAATTGTCCTTCGCGTGCAGCCACTCGAATTGCTTTGTGCGGGTCATAGCTGTTTTTTGTGAGTTTAATTAAATTATTTCGTTACATTACTTAAAATGCAAATTTACCGTAATCAGCGCAGCTAATCAAGCTCTTGGTAACGAGTTTCGCTAAAGCAGCATCCTTTTTGTAGCGCTGCTCGAGGCTCCTTTGCATAACAGAGAGGTTAACAGTACCGTTGGAGTAGAGGAAGCCATTCTTTTTAAAAACGCACTCTGCCATACACTGCATAAATGAAGCATTAAAGTCGGCAAAAACGCTATTTCATATCCATATAAATAATAAAGGCGTTTTTGCTTACTGCATGCAAGGCCACTTTATCCTGTCTTAAATTTCGCGCCTCGGTATTATTTACGATACGATCGGTCTTACTCAGCAGAGATTGGCGACATGCTCGGCTGTATTGATCGTTTCTGGGTACATTACAACAGCTGCCCAACTAAAAAGAAGTATTAGTATTACACCATATATGTACATATTTCTATGCTAAATAAAACTTACAATCTTTGTATGCTTGGTTGTATCGCAGCTTTTTAATTTATTTGAAGTCCCGTCAATTTTAAAAATTGAAAGCAAAAGCATGAAATAAAATAAAATCCAAAAGCAATTCATGTTTATGCAAAGTTTTAGAAACTTCCGAGCTTAAATAACTTTCAAAAGCTTACCGAGCAACAGCAAATTTAATGTTGCATGTAAAAATACATTTATTTGTATATAAACGAGTGATATAAGCGATTCTAAAATAAACCTCAATTTCTGAGTTTAATTGCTTTGGTCATTGCTTTAGTCGGGTAATTTAAATGAAATGAGACCTATGACAGACATATACATATGCGATTAAATAATAATTCGATTTCCAAACTTGTTCAAATGGAAATATA